TATATACTTCTGTATATAAATTATCCAAAAAAAAAGTTGCTGGAAAAAAATTTTTTAAAAAAGGAATTGCACGGAATTTTCTTTATTGCGGTTGTTTTAGTTCCTTTTATGCTGGGCCCCAGAGCTTGCCAGTCAATAGAGATTTATAAAGTCCTTTTAGTGACTAAAGTTTATACTTAAAATTTTCATTCAACTGTTAAGTACTTTGAGCTTCCTGTATATATTATTCTGTCTCAGTTAAACTAGTCCTGGCCCCAAATTCCATTCTTTGAATTCTTATTCTTATCTAAAATCTTTTAAAAGTTTTTATTCCCCTCCCAAATAGTTTTTCTTTCAAAGTCAAAGTTTATAGACACGTGTTTGAATGGTTTAGATGGCTTGGTTAGATGATTACATCACAGAGTCCAAGTGCTGAGCTTGGCCGAATTTCCAGCTTTCCAGCCTAGTGTGCTATAATTTTTATGCAATGGTTTAAATATTTACTACAGATGTTTACTACAGATAAATTAGTGAGTCTGTGGCCTTCATGCTAACTAGTTGTGGAGTAGGTGAAGGCCTAGCATAGAGTACGTGTGTATATTGTGAGCCATATGACCACTTCTGATGAAGATTATTATAAACCAAAAAAGTGTTTAAATTTTTATCTTAGTACTCTTTAGCCACAACTAAGCTTAAATGAAAGACCTGGAAAACTTGAGTGAGTATGCCTATATAAGAAAATATATAAGCTGGTCCACTATTTCAAGACTGTGGATATTTTGTTACAACATGTAACACTTGAGTTGTCTGTTATTTTTTTAGTTTCCTTCATTAATTCATTCATTTAGAAGTTATAAACTTGAAATGTCTGATAAACAGCAAATGTCAACCAAAAACTTCAAATCAAGACCACATTCTTTTTGGCCAAATAAAATGTAAAGAAGTGTAAGAAATGCTGAATATATTCTTCAAATTGTGTTTTTCCTGCCCTTAAAATTGGAGAACACACAGTCTGTGTTAACATAATAGCCTTGTTGCTATAGTGTTGACTGTAATTGCATGGTAGCTAATAGCCCTTCTATGAATCATCACTAGAATATAATTCATTGCAGAAGATAGAAATATATTCCATTTGATTTAAAACCCTAATTTGTCATTATTTAAAAAGTAGAACTAATTTACCATACAATTATTTTCCAGTTCCCTTTAAGAATTCAAATATAATGAAATGCCCTGATTATTTTAGCTATGTAGAGCTAAGAGCCACATAGCCCAGCTACCTCTTCCTTTTGCCCATAGATTATTTAAAATTTTTATTTTTTAAAAATTCATCTACACATAACACTTTTATTATTCTATCAGAGACTCCAAAATTAAATGGGTGTTTTAAAATTTATTTTAAAAAGTGTATTGGAGAATATTTTATATAATGTGTAGTGATCTCTTACATGAATGCAGATACACAAATAGCATTCCTGTCTTCAAGTATCTCATAAGTTGAAGAATTCCTATTCAAAGCCATCTGATTTTCATGTTGATTTTCTTTAAATGTCTTAAAGATCATTCTTAAAGTAGTAGTGCTTAACTTTTTTAGTTGAACTTGTGCTTGATGAAAGCTTTGTTCTACTCTTAACCATTTAAAAAAAATTTTATGTGATTTTAATGGATTTAAAGGCTACTTTGAAAATTTGATCTCCAAATTTTTTAATAGAATTTTTTTTAGAGCAGTTATAGGTTCATAGCAAAATTGAGCAGAAGATAAAGAGATTTCCCATAAGCCCCTGCCCCACACATGCACAGCCTCCTCCATTATCAGTATTCCCCACCAAAATGGTTCAATGGTTCACAATTGCTGAACCTATAATAGTACATCATTATCACCCATAATCCATGTCCAAATGATTTTGATTGCTTATTCCTCCAGAAAAATTATTTGAGCATGCATACCCTACGTATATAAAACATTTAACCTATATTATAAATATATTTATTGCATGCATGTTTAAAATTGTGTATATGTACTATTCTACTGGTATGAATGTTAGAAAATATTTATTAAGCAAAGAAAATAAAACTCCTCACAATCTACTGCATTGTGCTGTGTGCATTTTGGATATATGAATCTTGCTTAGAGAATTCTTGCCTGAATTTTGCTGAATTTTGAATTATTTAATCTCCATACTAAAACCTTATATAAAAATTGTGAAAAAAAAAAAGAAGAATTTGCTTGAGAAACTATAGCTTACCTTTGATCTGCAGATAATGTTTAGGTTATTTGTTGAATACTTTTTATACTTCACTATCCATTTTAAAGCTGCTTAGTAGATTTAAAGCAAGAATTTCTAAAGCATGGAGCAATCTAAAACAAAAGGTAAAGTAAATGCTGCGCTTTCCTGTGGTGTCCCCTTCAGTTCCACTGTAGAGGCACTGCTCTGGAGTTCAACTCCAAATGAGAGGATCATCGTATTCTAACCCTGGTCCATGTTATAATCTAAAGTTATCTTGGACTATGACTTTTCATAATCGTTTCTTAATATTAAGAAGGTTGCAGCCATTCTGGTGTGTCTTCTTTTCATTCCCTTTTCTCCAAAGGATGCTGACCTGTTGGATGTTGAAAGCAAACACTTTGAAGACCTAGAATTCCAGCAGCTTGAGCATGAGAGCCGTCTGGATGAGGAAAAGGAGAACTTGACCCAACAGCTCCTGCGTGAAGTGGCTGAATATCAGCGGAACATAGTCACTAGAAAGGTACCTTTCCCAGGTGATGTTTAATGTGAAAAATCAAGATATATTCCTCCTATGTGACAGTAAATAGCATTCAGATAGCTATGGTATGTGTGTGTCTTTGTATCTGAATATCTTTGTGTGTTTAATCCCATCATATTTAGCACATTATGGGGCTCTGAACACGTTACAGTCATCGTTACATAATGTTGTGGATGTATTTATGAATAATAGCCAATTTCACCTTTATGTAAAAACCAAGTCTAGAAAATCAGGAATTCAGATATTTGTTTTAAATTACTTCCTATTTAAAGCACAGTAACTAAATTCAGAATAATTCCACGAACAAAGTTTAATTTGGAATTTTCTGTTTCCATTGCTGAATGGTTCCCCAAACTGGCAGATAGCTTATTTATTGTTAGAAACAGTTCAGTCAAATACCATGCAGATTACTACTAACTCCACCCAACACTTAGCTGTCCAGTGCAGAATTTAGTTTCTATTCCAAAATTCAGAACTCCGCCCCAGAACTCTAACCTGATAACACTGAAGGATAAAACTGAGGGAAGGATGAAAAAGTTACTTCTCCAACTCAGTTTAAATAAGAAATGCCATTGTTATCTTTTCCCAATCAGTCATCTTCCCAAATGACGTTTAAAATTAATTGATAGTCTAAATCAAGATTTCCTGTTGATTTCTGGACTCTTCAAATACAATTTAAATCACTTGAACTGTGTTAACCGTAAGAAAGACATTGAACTTGGCAGGTCAAAGTAAATGCCTCCTTGTCTCTAGGTAATACCAACTGCCTATCACCTACTCAAATACGGTCACCATTATTTCAATGGTAAAGGCCTTCTCCCCCTTTCCCACTACAGACTGGCAAACCTTGGAATGTCTAATGGGCACCTTTCTATGATGATCTTCTTTCCTACAGGAAAAAATTTCAGCACTGAAAAAACAAGCCAATCACATTGTTCAGCAGGCTCAGAGAGAACAAGACCATTTTGTAAAAGAAAAGAATAATTTAATAATGATGCTACAAAGAGTAAGTATTTCCTGTTCAGCACTGGTTATAATATAACAGAGCTTCCAACTCAGGGAAGGTTGCCTCTTTCCAAGTAAATGCCTTTTAAAAGTGAAAGCCTTCAGAATCAAAGAAGATTTTTGTGTACATTTTTATTTAATTTTCCACACTAGTAAGCTGATCCCTTGCATGGTTAAAATTCAGCAGAAAATCTTTACTTTTCCTTATTTTCTTTTCTTAAAAAAAATCACATTTTTCATCAAATAGTTAAAATATATTCTAACACAAGTTTAGGGTAGATTTAAGGGAAAATATTCTTTTCACTGCTGTCAAATATTGTGGCTCAGCTACACTAATGTTTTGAACTCCAATTATTTGTGCATGTGTCTTCCTGGAAAATGTCACATTGGAGTTAGATTGGCTTAGTTGGGTTATTAGACACCCCAGGTGATTTGGTTAGAGGAGTAGCAAAATCATCCTCAAGAAAGGAACCATGTCCTTGTTTGTCCCAGCACCTACAGTGACAAAGGGAGTCCTTCAACTAAACTCAGTTAAAAGCAGCCTGTCTTGACTTTCTGACATGGTTCCTGGTGTAATTTCATCAAACATAAAAGTTGATGGGTCCAGTCTCATGGTTGAGCCAAGCATGCAGGCCACTACCTAGGAAAATAATGTTTTGGCTCATGGAAATATCAGATGGATCTAGAATGGGATACAGGAGGAAGACTAAATCCAGAATGAGGATTAGGAAAAGAGGCTGTACTGTGACATGCACATTCCTACCTACAAGAAATGAGCATTCCTGTCTAGGTTCAGAAAGTCCCTAAGGTCCATGATTCTGGTATGAATCTGCCTGGGGTTTCTATGCAGCCCTTATGGGTTCCTGACACTATCCTCCTGCCTTTTCAGCAGCTAGAAATCTATAAATGGAGATTTTTCCATCCCAATCCCCTTCCCTGATCTGTGGGGGTAAACTCTGTTGCCATCAGCTTCCCTATGACCACTTTACTCTTTGTGCAAATATTCAAAGGTATAACAAATTAGCATCATATGTATTTAAGTAGCTGTTGATGTTTTAGGAAAAAAAAAGAGCGAAGAAAAAAATTTCTAAGTAGTAGGTCTTTAAAAAGGGGTAAGCACAATCACAGATATGACAGTTTCTAATTAGAAATACAGAAAAGAGAATTAGATTGTAAAATACATAGACCATAAGTATTAATATTTTTGTTTTCCTAAAATAGCCTATAGACATTTTAATCCAAATCAAATCCCAACAGGTATTTTTGTAGCAATTGACAAGCTGGGCTTAATCTTTATCCTCATATCACATATAGAAATCCATTATTTCATGGATTCCACATTTGTGATTTTTACCTTTTGGTTAAAATGTATTTGTAATCCTAAAATCTATACTTGTAGCCATTTTACAGTTATTCATAGACACACACAGACCAGTGGAAGTTTTGAATCACCCAACATGCATATTCCCAGCTAGGGCTGAACGACGCAGCATCCAATCTCCCCCTTCCATCTCTCATACTGTAAACAAGTGTCCTTCTGGTAGACCACTTTAGGGCTGTGATTTCCCTTTTTTTTTCCTTTTAGTTGGTGATTTTGCTGTTTCAAATGGCTTCCAAGCATGGTGCTAAGTGCTTCTAGTATTCCTAGGGGCAAGAAGGCTACTGTGTCTTATGGAGAAAATACATGTGTTAGACGTTTTGCTTGCATGAGTTACATAATAATGCTGTTGAATTTTGTTAAATGTTAATTTATCAAGGGCATATACTACAGAAAGTGTGTTCAAAGAGAGACACATATAAAACAAAGTTATTATTGATCAGTTTATGAAAATGTGACCAGAGGCTTATAGGAACTTAACCCTGAATTTCCTGAAGGAACAGTGGTTCGGTACTTAAACAATTTAGTGTTTGTGGCAACAGTAAAGAATGTAACATCCACAAATATGAAAATTGGCAGTTTATAAAAATGCAAAGAGCCTAGAATAGCCAAAGCAGTTTAGAACAAGAGGAACAAAGTTGGAGGATTTTTACTACCTGATTTCAAGGTTTACTATAAAGCTACAGTATTTAAGATAGTATATAGTGCAGACATCCAGATATTCATTTAGATCAATGGAACTGACCCTAGAGTACAGAAATAGAACCATATTATACAGTCTATTGATTTTTTCACAAAGTTTCCAAGATAATTCAATAGGAAAAGGAAGTCTTTGCAACAAATTATGCTGGATCACCTGGGTAACCATGGAAAAAAATAAACATCGTATCCTCATATCACATATATAAATTAATTCAAGAGAGATGACAGACTTGAGAACAAAAAATTAACATGATAAGGATTCCAGAAGATAGCATGAGAATACAAATATATCTTCATGATCTGGTGAAAGCAAAGATTTCTTACAGGAAATGACAAAGGACTTGAATCTAGAATATGCTAAAACTCCTACTACTCAATAAAGAATAAATATCAATGCTTTTTAAAAAAATCAGGCAAAAGTCTTAAATAGACACTTCACAAAATAATATATACTTAGGGCCATTAAGTCCCATTGAAAAGTATTCATCATTAGTTATCAAGAAAATATAAATTTAAACAGTAATGTGGTTCCATCTTGTACCACCTAAAATGACTTAGGTGAAAAAGTGAAACTTTCACATGTTGGCATGGATATGAAGCAACTGGAACTTTGAGGCATTGTTGATATGAGTGTGAAATATACAGCCTTTTCAGAGAACTCCTTGAAAGTTTATTTTATAACTTTTACTATCCACCCACCCTTTGACCCAGCCACTCTACTCCTAGCTATTTACACACTAAAAATAAAAACATATATTTACCAAGAAAATGTATCAAGACTTTTTGAAGTAACTTTTTTTTT